AAAAGAGAAGAATAGAAGGAGAAAATGGAAACAAAGGTTTTGTACATAAGAGGGGAAGGGGCCTGGAGTGGGGGTGGGAAAAAGAGGTGGGAGGTACCATGTGCAGGAGCAAATTCCTTACATTGAATGTTATTATGTATGCCTAAAATATACCAATAAATGTTTTGCTATAAAAGAATAAAAATTATAATTTCCCTTACAAAAGATATTTTGTTTAGAAAAGTTTATATGCAAATTGAAAAATAATTATTTGACAAAGTAATTTAGAATTCCCAGAGATGATTTTTTTGTGTTTCTTTGCAGTACTGAGGGTTGAACCCACTGCCTCTGGCATGCTAGGCAAATGCTCTACCACTGAGTTAGTTATATCCCTTGTAGCCTTCACCTTTTTTTTTTTTTTTTTTAAATTTTCAGAACAGGGTTACACTAAGTTGCCCAGGCTGACATTGAACTCACGATTCTTCTGCCTCAGCCTCCAGAATAGCTGTGATTATAGGTGTGTATTGTACTTGGCCATTGTAGAAAATTATTATGACTTATTAATCCAAGTCCTGGATTTAAGGCTTGTCGGTCTGAGATTTTATTAAAGTTTAGAGCTGATAAGATTAATGTAGATTCTTGAGAAAATACATGAATGACAATAATGGTACCTTACATCTTACTTCATATAGATGACTTTACTGGGTGTTTTTCAGTTGCTACAAACGAAATTCAGTTATTTTGAGCCAGGCATGGTGGATGGTACATGCCAGTAATCCCAGCACTTGGGAAGCTGAGGCAGGAAAATTGCTGGGAGTTCAAGGCCAGCCTGGGCTACATAATAAGCTCAAGGTCAACCTGAACTGAGCTACATAGCAAGACTTGGTCTCAAAAATTTTTTTCATTTTTGTTTCTAGTGCTGTCTTCAGTAGTGTAGAATTTTAAAATAATACTTGCATGACTAGTTGGGTGTGGTGCCACACACCTTTAGAACCAGCACTCTGAGGATATGAGGCAAGATCACAAGTCCAGATCGAACCTGGACAGTTTAGGGACTTAGTGAGACCCTATCTTGCTAGATAAATAAATCTGTCTCTGTGCATAGTTAATAGCAAACTGCCTTGCTCTTAATGCTAGAGTGAAAGTCTAGCAGGAATAATACTGGGTCAGATTGGTTGAGGTTCCAGAACTACAACAGCAGTTGGCATTAGGAGGTCAGGTTTAAGGATATGTTGCAGTGATTTACCTGTTAAAGAGAAGTGAGGTAGATTAGGGATTGTGGGTACAACTGGCAAAGCTCAGCTTGATCCTTTGATGGTGTTGGCCTATTTAAAAGATTATGGTAGCACACATGCGATTTTTCATCTAACCACTTCCAAATCTCACAATTTAGAATTTTCTGGGGCTGAGGATTTAGCCCAGTGGGAGAACATTTACAAAGCATATTCCAGGCTCTGGGTTCAATCCTGGGAGGATGGGGCATAGAATTCTCTTCCAAGAGGAAATAATCTTATTCATACCTACTTTTCTTGCCCTCTACCTGAAAATATTATCCCTGAAAATACAGGGATGAAGTCAAGAGTCAACTTAATGACCTTAACCATTGTATTATAAATGAGTATTACTTTGCACCAACAAATGCTTGATAGCTAGAGTTAACAGAAATATACACAAAAATATATTAAGAGGATAGTAGCTTATATATTAACTATGATTTCCCTGGGAACCACTTAGTGTGCATATAGATCTTTCTTTAATATGGATTTATGATTGTTCTTTTTTCCTTAGGTTTATGGTCTAAGACTTTAATTTCTCATATCTGTTATCTAAATTGGGAGAATAGATTGTCAAAAGAAGACAATTTCAATAAAGACAACAGAAATGACTTGTTAATGTGATATCATTAAGCAAACTAGTATTGGGTTTTAAATTTGGTCTTTTCTGCTCCCCACCCCGCCTTTTTTTTTGTTTGATACCGGGAGTCAAACTCAGAACCTTGCACTTGCGAGTCAGGTGTGGCATAACTAAGCTAAACCCCTGCCCTTCTGTTCCTTTTTTATTATTTATTTGTTTGTTTATTTATTTATTTATGGGGGGTGCCAGGGATCGAACTTGGGACTTTGTGCTTGGCTGGGCAGGTGATGGAACCACTGAACTAAATCCCCGGCCTCTTTTGCTCCTTTTTTAAAAACAGCCAAGTCCTGATCTATTTTACAGAATTTTACCTTCAATTTTGGAGAATATCTCAGTGTTCAAACTTCTAATACAGAGTTCTGCTACTATGCAAGGAAGTCAGAGTTTAGGAGGTGCACAAAAGCATTTTGAGAAAAATGCACAGATGAGTAGTGTATTAGTCACTTTCCTTGTTGCTGGGAACAAATACCTGACACCCACAACTTGGAGGAGAGGTTTATTTTGGCTCACAGTTAGTTATTGTCTATAGACAGCTGGCTCTAAGGCACAAGTAGCATGGTAGAAGGGCAGAGCAGAAGAAAGGTGTTTGGGTCAGGATGCCCAGGAAGAAGAAAGAGAAGGGAAGACCTGAAGAGGGAGATAGATATACTCTGATCATACCTCCTAAATGCATTTAGCTCCGAACTTTTCAGTGGGTTAATCCACTAATGATTAAGGTAACCCCAGAATCCAATCACTTTACAAAAGCCCCACCTCCAAACACAGTGTGAGGGACATTTTTGAGCTAAACCATAACAGGTAGATGTATGCACCAGAATATTTTAGCTATTTTTAGCAGAGCTACATTGAATTATTAACATCAAAGAATATATATGAAAGCAGAAAGATAATCCTAACACTTGCAGGGCTTAGTAGTAATTCTCACAGTAAAAACAAGAAAACAAGATTGAGTTTTCTTTTGGACACCTTATTTTTCAGCAAAATTCCTGAGTAATTAGGCTGTTGTTCTTGTCCAGTTCTTGATTGTATAGGTAGCGGGTTCTAAAATAACTGCTGAAATCACAGGCAAATAATGAAAATTATAAGTCAGAGTTAAAGGAACATGCAGTTTGTTGATTGTGATGTTATGGCTAATTATAACAGGAGTTATCAAACAGCGGAAGGGCCAGTAATAATAGCTCAGTGGTTCTGCCTACCTGGCAAGCGCAAAGTCCTGAGTTTGATGGAGGCAGGGAAGGCAGCAGAAATTTTTATTTTTTAAATTAAAAAAATGTTTTTTTTGGGGGGGGTACTGGGGACCCAACTCAGGACCGTATGTTTGTGAGGCAGGTGGTGGAACCACTGAGCTAAATCCCCGGCCCAGACAGTAGAAATTTTTAAAGCATGTTTAGTGACTTTTTTCCTTCAAACTCAAGAATTAAATTACCTATGACAGAAGATTACAGAAGTAAATTTATTGTTACTAAATTCCTAAATAAAAAGCAAAAGAAAAAAGTTTATGAAGCAGAGAAAGAAATAAAACTGTTGAGGTAGAAAGACAGTGCTAAAACATCACTGAATCCTGTAAGATGCTCCCTGGAGCTTCTGAGGCAATTGATCTAGTCTCTGCTACCGTTGCATCTACTTGTTTTTAACATATGGCATTTTGTAGCATAATTACTTATCTCTCAGTATCGATAGCTCCTTGAGTGTTAGGGTTATCTTTTTAGCATTTGCATTTCATGACCTACACAGAGAATGGTTCGCAAACAATTCAAACAGCCAGGCATGGTGCTGCACACCTGTAGTTTCAGCATTCTGGAAGGCTGAGGCAGGACCTCTGCTTGGGCAATTTACCAAAATACTATCTCAAAATTACAAATAAAGGGCTAGGGATATCACTCAGTGTGAGTTAATGCTACTTAGAAAATTGTGCAGGAATAGTAAGACAGGAGGAGAAGGGACTAGGAAAGGAATAGGATTGTAGTTTAGGGGAGGAAGGGGATTAGGAAAGGACTAGGAATGTAGCTCAGTTGTAGAGTGTTTGCCTAGCACATGTGAGGCCCTGGGTTCAATTCCCATTATGGGGAGGGAGTTTACTAAGACTGACAAATCTTTAAGCATAAAATCCCATCCCCACCACCAAAAATACAACCCTAAAAATACAACTTGAGAATAAGAATTTCTTTCCTTAGTCCTAAAAATGTTGCTTTACTATTAAATAATTGAACTATTTGTATTTTCTCTTCTCTCGTTTACTAAAAATACATAGTAAAATTTTTGTATTTCACAATCTGTACTTTCATGTTTTTAAGAAATTAGTAATATTTGTAATAACACTACTACCTGGATCTGTTTAGTGATTTCCTGTTAAAGGATATCTTTGTTCTGCCCAGACAAGTACCTGCTAATCTTATAAAAGGTCATAGAAAATCCTCTTCACATATTTCAGTAAAACACAAAAGAGCAAATTATGCTGTCTTTTTAGCATCTCTGTTTAAAAACAGTTGTACATTAGGTTCTCAGTTTTTAAAAAATTGTTGCAGGGTGTGGTAATCCCAGCACTCGGAGGCTGAGGCAGGAAGATCACCTTGGGTTTGAGGCCAGCCTGGGTTACATAGTGAATTCAGAGCCAGCCTGAACTACAAAATGAGACCCTACCTCAAAAAAAAAAAAAAAAAGTGTTTTTGGTGTCAAACACCTTTTGAAAGCATTTAACTGATTATTAGTGATTTATCTCCTAACATGTGGTACTTAATGAGCCCGGTGAAAAAGTTTTATTGATTATTATTTGGGTTATTGTATTTTTTTCCAGTCCTATAAAAAAGAGAGAGAGAAGTTTTTTTTGTGTGTTTAGTCTTCTTAACTCTATCCAGAGAAGTTGAGATTTACCAGTGCTCTGTGGGCTGGTATCATCTGTAAGTGCATTCTTTTTTATACAATTTTTGAAGAAGTCTAGAATGCAAGTCCTCATTATCACTTTGCTGTCTTTTCATTCCTCTGTGTGTTCATCTTAAGAAACCCTGTTGGGCCAGGGATTTAGCTTAGTGGTTCCACCACCTGCCTCGCAAGCACCAGGTCCTGAGCTCAATCCCTGGTACCACCAAAAAAAAAAAAGTTGATTTTGCTTGCTTCTGCAGCACATATACTAAAACATTGGAACGATACAGACAAGAGTAGCATGGCCCCTGCGTAAGGATGACACGCAAATTTGTGAAGTGTTCCATTAAAAAAAAAAAAGAAAGGGCCGGGGATTTGGCTCAGTGGCACTGCCTGGCTTGTAAGCACAAGGGCCCAAGTTTGATCTCTGGTACCAAAAAAAGAAAAAAAGAAAAGAAAGAAGGAAAGAAACCCTATTGAAGGGCTGTGGATTTAGCTCAGTGACACTGGGCCTGCCTCGCCAGCTCAAGGTCCTGAGTTCAACCTATGGAACTAAAAGAAATCCTATTGAAGCAAGACCTGAGGGTGTATAGGTACTTCTTAAGTCCTGCTATGATGAATTCTGTTATCTCACCTTCTTTGAATTGTTTACTTTGGAAGCTGTTTGGGCTAGAGATATTTGGAAGTAGAGAAGAGAACACTAGGCACAATGCCTAGGTTCTCCATGGCAGCGGCAGTTTCTCCTGGAACTTTACATTTCCTTTAAAACTTTTGTCCCTTTGCATGCAGAAGACAGACAGCTAAGGTGACAGTCATGATCTTTAGCCTCTGAGACAAAACAAGGTGCCACCATTATGGAGTATATATATATATGCTCCCTTAGATGGAGGAGAGAACCAGATCCCTTCTTTTGTGCCACATATCCTCTGCTGCAAATGTACCAGAAAGGTCTAAAACTAACATAATTAGTTTTAACACAGTTCATCTTCAATTCTTGCTTTCATTTTATATTAGGAACTTCTTTCAAATGTGTTACATTTGGCTGATTGAGCAGTTTACTGCTCAGTGTAGAATGTATGGTATATCTTCTTGAGTCTAATTGTGGTTTGTTTTAGTGGCAAACAATGAAGTATGTGGACTGAATGTTTCTATGTTGATCTTGTGAATGGAAAAAATCATTACTGAAGCAAATTGTTAGACAGCATAGCTTCCATAGTACCAGAGAATTAAGCCTAAATATCATTACCTTTTTATTTTGACACCTTAAATATCATTACCTTAACTTACTAAATGACATGCTGCTTTTTATGGTTCTTTGTATCTTTCATTTTAATGATTGTAAGTCACTCCAGAAATGTTCACATACAAGACTGTTAAATAAAGGCATATTAGTACAGTAATTCATTCTGAGACACAGTTGTATGGAAATTATTCAAGACTTCTAGGGAGACATCAGAATTAAAGGCCTATGTAATCAAACCTGGAGCTTTTATGAAAGATGATTAATTGGTAGACATAGTTGAATATATGGTGACAGAAGTTGCTTCCTGCCTGGCTTCACTGTGAGTCAGAAGTCATTGAATGTTGGGCTGGGAATTTAGCTCAGTGGTGCTGCCACCTGCCTTGAAAGCACAAAGTCCTGAGTTCGATCCCTGGTTAAAAAACAAAAAAATCATTGAATTTCTAGTTCTAAATTGCAGTTGTAATAGAGAATGAGTATCGAATTTGGGCTTCAATCTGGGCTTCAATTAGTCCAGCACCTAATGGCTTTGTAAATTATGAAAGGTCCATAGTGGGCCAGGATTTAGCTTAGTGGGGCAGCTGCCTACCTTGAAAGCCTTGGTCACAAATACCTGTAGTCCCAGATACTTAGGAAGCGAGGCAGGAGGATTATAAGTTTGAGGCCATCCTGAGCAATTTGGTGAGACTTTGTCTGAAAATAAAAAATAAAAAGGGTTGTGTGTGCAGCTCACACACTGCCCCCTGAGTTCAGTCCTCAGTATTGGAAAGGAAAGAGTTGGGAGGAAAGAGAGGATGGATGGAGGAAAGGGGGTTCCGTAGCAATCTGTTTTTGAATAGAAAATAGTTGGTGATTTTCCATTAAAATGTTTGATTTAATTACTGTTTACATTTAACATTTTTTTCTTTACTATTTTTATTTAGTGTTTTATCCCTCTTCTCAGATGCTCTTGTTCTTCTGATTAATTGGCACAATCTGAACTTTTGTACATTTCTTGAAAATGATTTCTGAATATTTTCAGAAGCATATTTAAGATTCTTTTATATTTCTAATTTCTAACATTTTTTCAGGTTTAGGTTTCATACATTCATTTCACATAATATATCCATAAATGTTTTTATGTAGAAACATTGCAAAGAAGGTATGTATAAATGGCTTACAAGATAAAATTGTATGATGCAAACGTGAAACATACTATACTACAGAAACTATCGTTACAAGATAAGATTGTTATGTGAGTTTTCCATTTGTATCTCTTTCATTACATGCTCACTAGTTTCAGTATCTCCTCCATAATAGAATGATGGGGATTTTGCTGTGCATGTCATATAAAAAAAAAAATGTACACTTTTTCTTTTTTTTTTTTTAAACAGTGTCTCACTATGTCATCTCTATGTAATGCAGGCTGGCCTTAGAGTTGTGGCAATCCTCCTGCCTCATCCTCCAGAGTTATGGGGTTGATACAGGGGAAATATAATTCCCAACCTGCTACGTGTCAGATGTGCCAAGTTCCAGTCTCCTAAATTTGAAGAATGAATTCCAAAGGACAGGAGATTAACAGTGGGAAATGTTTATTGAGAGATGGCTCCTGGGAGACAAAGAGGGGTCCTAAGTGGGTTGCTACTAAGGCCCGTTGTCAGGGATAATTTACACAGCAAAGTCACAATGTGGGTACAACATGGGTCAAACTATAATCAATCTATAGGATTACAAGTATAGATCCTTAGCTAATACGAATCTAGTAGGGAAGCGGGACACATAGCAAAGGTATATGGCTGACATCATTAACCTTGGCTTACCCATGATTTCTAAAAGAGGAACATTTTTGGGAAGAGATGGGTCCAGGTGTTTGGTCACCCACCCAAGTGTGTGATGCATAACTGGACTTAATGGATTGGGTGGTGTTAATTACAGTACAGTCCTAAATTCTGCTTATCCTTTAGGAAAGTATGCAGGTCTGGTCATTGTGGCTTTATCTTGGGATCTTGCCTCTTCAGATCTGCCTCCAACCACAATGTTGATGTCTGACTTCCTTGAAAACCTATCCCTCTCTGTATATTAATTTTTATCTAACTTAGCTGCCTGCAATAGAGTTTGAAGCATGGCCCACCACACCTGACAGTTTATACCCTTCAGTTGCATTGTTGGTGGTACATATCTATGATCCTAACTCTAGGGAGACTGAGACAAGAGGATAGGGAATTCATGGTCAGCCTGGGATACAAGTTCAAGTTGAAGGCTGGCCTGGACTATATAATGAGACCATTTCAGAAAGCCAAAAAAGAAAAAAGGTAGCCTGCTTCTGAAAGTGACTTGCCCATTAGACATTACTGGGCTCTAGGTTGCTTACCTCTCCTTCTGGAGTTAGGTTCTAGGCTCTTCTCTTGAAGTAGAATTGAATGAAATATGCAAAAGGCAGTGGCAAAGTTTATTTGAGAAAGTAAAAGAGCAGGGGAGAAACTGGCTCTGCACAGCAAGTGTGGGCCTAGTAAAAGGAGAAAAGGCAATAAAGGAACATCCTGGAGAAAGCAGGGGGAGCTACCTTGAAGAAAGTCAGGATACTAAGCTCTTCATAGCTCGCCTCTATGTTTATGCTATCCAATATCTCGGTCCTAAGAGGCAACAGTGGGATCCCCTGTTTCAGGCTGTCTTGTCTAGCCATCGTATTGAAAACCTGTTGAAGTTCTCCTGAGAAGTCCATGTACAGGGCTTTGAGAACTATTCTGCGCATGTGTCTGGGATCTTGTAATTAACAAGTCTTGCTTACTTCCCCCATCCAGCTTTGCCATGCTCTACTCTCCTATCTCAGAAGAAAGAAAATAGCAAACAACTTCAAGTTTGTTTTCCTTTGTTTGTATTGTTATCTGCAAAATATTTAAGCTTTCCTCTGTTCAAGCACTTTTACTTTTTTTTTTAATATCACTGAGCTACATCCCTAGCCCTTGGTTTTTTTATTTTTTATTGTTTTTCATTTTGAGAAAGAATCTGTAAGATTTGCCTAATCTGGCCTCACATTTAAGATTTTCTTGCCTCAGCCTACAACTAGGATCATAGGCATGCCCAAGGATACCTGGCTGCTTGTCTTTGTGATAATAGTCATTCTAAGGGATGTGGTTTTGATTCACATTTCCCCTATGATTAGTGACATTTAGCATTTTTCATATACTACCTGTGGGTTTCGTTTGTATTCTTTCAGGTTTTAGTTTACAGTTCTGTAGGTTTAAGGGCTCACATAATGCCTTCTTCCTGGGAGAATCCCCAAGTATCACAGGCATCACATGTCAAGAAGTAAGGAGTAATCAGGTCAAGTGTGATGGCACATGCCTGTAATCCCAGCACTTGGGAGACTGAGGCAGGAGGATCGCTGTGACTTCAAGACCAGCCTGGGATACATAGTGATTTCCAGGTCAGTCTCAACTACATAGTGAGACCCTGTCTCAAGAAAAAAAACACCGAAAAAAAAAGCAAGTAAGGAGCAATCAACTGTGGGTGTATTTTTCTTTTGTAAAACTACCAGTATTCGAGCTGGGTATGATGGCTTAATGCCTTCCTTACTCAGGAGGCTGAGGCAGGAGGATTGCAATAAGTTTAAGGCCCACCTGGGTTACTTAGTGAGTTCAAGGCTAACCAGAATTACATAGCAAGCCCCTGCCTCAAAACCACACACCCAAAAATATCCAGGACTAATGTTCAATTATGGAGGCTAAACTTTGATGGTTTTATAAAGTAATTCTAATCATTGTCCAAAGGCTCTCCCTCCAAACATCATAGTTTAAGTTTCCACCTTCATCATAATACCTCACAATGAGGAATAAATTTCAGCATGTGCACCCTTGGTGGAAACGCTCAAGTCATATCCAACCCATACCCTTTGCCTTTGGTTTTGAGATCGTATTAAAAAACTCATTGTCAGATCAAATTCATGGAGCTTTCCCTTAGGTTTTCTTTCAAGAGTTTTATAGTTTTGAATCTAGCATTTAAGTCTTTAATACATTTTGGTTAATTTTATATATGATGAGATTTATGAGTCTAATTTCATTCTTATATCAATGTCTGGTTGTCCAGCTGTTTATTTAAAGATCCAGTCCTTTCCCCCTGTGTTTTTTATACCTT